ATTTATAATAGCATAAAAAATTTATCAAATACCTAGCAACAAATACAATGAAGATGTGTAAGATCGCAGCAAAGACTGCTTTAAATGCACACCCTTGTTTACTGCAGCTTTGTTCACAATAGCAAAGAGCTGGAAACAACCCAAGTGCCCATCAACAAACAAATGGACAGAGAAGCTGTGGTATATTCACACAATACAATACTATGCAGCATTGAAAAACAAGGAACTCATGAAATATTATGCAAAATGGATGACCCTGGAGGACATTATGCTGAGTGAAATATCTCAGTTACAAAAGGACAAATATTGCATAGGGCCACTGATGTAAAATGGGACTGATATTGCGGTTGAGGGAAAACAGAGGAGGAGGGGAGGAATGATGTATACTGCATTGAAATGAAGGAGAGAACTGTTTAAAAGGGATATAAGATTGGGTATTACTGTCATTACAGAAGTCCAGAATGAAGGCTGCACAATGGAGTGGACTTTGGGGGAGGGATTGCATAACAATGAAAGAGTTTTACTTTTGAAGGAGAAGAGTGAATTGAGAGGAGGATATGGTGGGCAGGGAGAAAAGTGCAACAATGAATGAATGGAAACTTTTAAGTCTCTGTAAACTTTCATTAAAATTAATTTTTAAAAAGGCTGTTTTAAAATATTAGTAACAAAAATTAGGTAAAAGCTCTGGTGGTCTAGTGGTAAGGAGCTGTGCTACCAATCTGAAGGTACATGGTTCAAGTTCACCAGCTGCTCTGTGGGAAAAAATCTGCAATCTCCTCCCATGCAATTTATTGCCTCTGAAAATGTGCTGGAGGGTCAGCTGTAAGTCAGTTCTGACTCCACTGTACACAGAACAACAAATAAAAGAAGGCCCTAAGACTCTTCATCAGGAGGCAATCATCAGAACAGAACAAGGAAATAGTGAGGAGGAATGTGGCATCAGGATTGGAGGAAGACTCATCAACCTGCATTACACAGATGACACAACTTTGCTCTTTGAAACTGAAGAAGACCTGAAGTGTTTACTGCAAAAGGTTAAGGACTGTACTCTTCAATATAAATTGCATCTCAATATCAAGAAGACAAAGATTCTCACCACAGGGCCAACTGGCAACACCATGACAGGTGGAAAAGAAAGTGAGATTGTTAACAATTTCCCCTCGCTTGGCCCAACAGTCGACATTCTTGGTACTAGCAGTCAGGAAATCAAAGAGCTATTAGGAAAATCTGCTATCAGGGACTTTCCAGAGTACTGAAGAATAACAGTATCTGTCTGGAGGCTAAGGTGCACCTGATCCAAGCCATGGTCTTCGTAACTGCTTGCTATCCATCAGAGAGCTGGACTAAGAATTGATGTCTTTGAGTTGTGGTGCTGCCAAGAGAACAAACAGGTCTGTCCTCGAGAGGGTGAAAGCAACTTGCTCCTTGAAGGTAAGGATATTTATTTTTTAATTTTTAAACTTTTTTATTGTTTAGCATACAAAATTGAATACTTTGTTTCATCCACAGTCATTGTGTTTCACACTTTCTGCATTCACATTGTATTCCTATACATGGTGTTTTTTTAAGAAAACAATTTTTTTATTTTAGATTGGTTTACTCACAAAGTTTGTATACACTGTTTTTCATACCAGATCTTTCCCATTTCCTTTATCCACCCCTCCCTCCACCCATCAAATTGTGTAACCCTCTGATTAACCTCCCTCCACTTCCATCCTCACCTCTCTGCTCCCACACTCCCTTCCCCCGCTGGACCCTCCATATGCGTTCTATAATAATGGTCTTAAACAGTATTTGTCCTAATAGGACTGAGTTAGTTCCCTTGGCCCAAAGCTCTACAGTCCTTCCCAAGTTAGGTAGTGATTTACAAAATTATTGCTCCTACACACTGCAAAGTTTTCCATCATGTGACTGTACCACAATTTCTCAATCCATTCAGTTGTGACTGGAAATCTGAGCTGTTTCCATGTTCTTGTGACGGTGAATGACGCTGCTATGAACACTGGTGTACAAGTCTCCACATGTGCCTTAGTTCTCATTTTCTCGGAGTATACGAATGAATCATTTGGCATTTCTATGTTCAGCTTTCTGAAGACACACCAAACTGCCTTCCAGAGTGGTTGGATCATTTTATAATCCCACCAACAGTGTTTAAGAGTTCCTATCTTGTCCCATCTTCTCCAACATCTATTACTTGCTGTCCTATTAAACACTGCCACTGCTCCTGGGGTGAGATGGTATCTCATTATGGTTTTGATTTGCGTCACTCTTAAGGAGGGAAGGATTTTGAAGCTCCATCTCAAATATTTTGGGCATGCTGACAGGAGGGACCAGACTCTGGAGAAGGACATCACACTTGGAAGGATGGAGGGATTGTGCAGGAGAGGAAGACCCTGGAAGAGATGGGCTGACACAGTACCTGGGGTAATGGAGATAGGGGTGTCAGAGACAGTGTGATTGGCTCAGGATAGAGCAGGGTTCAGAGCTATTATGAAAAGGGCTGCAACCAACTTGATGGCACATAATAGCAGCAAGACTCCAGATTAAGTTAGTGTGACGCAGAGAGTATGGTCAAGTACAGACTATTTAAAAAAAAGAAGTTGCATGAACCAATTCTCAGGAACAGGTGTGCTGGAATTATGACAAAGTTGGCACTCAAAGAGGGTCTCTTTAAAAAAAAGACTGTCAATCAACTGAGTATAAAACTGTGAGCGTGTGACAGAAATGGAGCCCCTTCCTCAAATACGCAAAATCTATGTGCAGACTATACATCCTCATGTGTAAAGTACTTCTGTCAGGTGGAATCAAGCAGACTCCAGGTACCATGCTCATCCTGTCGGCCAGGCTCAAGTCCACTGTCGCAGTCAGTGTCTATCCATCTTCATTTTCCAAGGACTGGCCCCTCCTGACAAGCTGCCCAAAGTACATGAGAGGAAGTTTCAGGGTCTTTGCCTCCAAGGAGCACTCTAATTGCACCTGTCCAGGGAAGATCTGTCTTTCTTTCGGCAGTCCGTGGTACATTCAGCACTCTTCACCAACATCATAATTCAAAGGCATCAATCCTTCTTCAGTCTGCTTTAGTCACTGTTTAACTTTCACCCACAAGAAACAATTGAAAATACCATGGCTTGGGTCAGGCATAGCTCATTCTTTAAAATTCTTGTCATGTGTAACTGGTCATTTGCCAAAAACTGCAAACAACCCAACAAGAGAAATGCTGTCGTTAGGTGGTGTTGAGTGGGTGTTAACTGAGCTCTGTTTTACACAGAGTGACATTAAGGACAAGAGAACACTCGAGTCCCACCTGCTCATGCTAGTCCTCCCTCACGGCTGAGCTCCTTCTCACAGCCACTGTGCCGATGCATTGTGTTAAGGTTCCCTCTCTTGAGCTGACTCGATTCTAAGCATGATGTGGTTCTCTAGGGCCTGATCCTCCATTGATCACTGTCCAAAGTAGGAGATGAACTCTCACCATGCTCACATCTATGCAGCATGGTGGCCTTACTGCTTTGTAAAAAAATCATTGATTTTACCTAAGTTGCTTACAAAGTTTGTATACATTGTGTTTCACACTAGTCTTTATTCACAGTGTTTCATACAATCATCCCCACTCATTCTACTTTATAGTCTCCAGACTTAATCAACATTCAACTATGCCCACCAGACCACAATGCGATACCATCTCAGCCCACTAGCAGTGGCAAAGTTTAACAAGACAGCACCAATAAACGTTGGAGAGGATGTGGCAAGACAGGTCCTCCTTCTTCGAAAAGAGGTCTGCTCCTTTGGGCAGCTAGTAGTGGATTCAATATTCTTCACTGCCACCATAATATAAATGCACTCACTGCTTGGTCTTCCAGCTTTCACACGTGTATGAGGAGACTGAAGAGTACCATGAACTGTGGGTCAGGGGTGTCTTAAGTCCTCAAAGAGACACAGAACGATACGTAAGTGCTGACACAGAGCAAAATGTGGCTGAGAGATGCCACTGAGTCCAATACAACCCACAGGAACCCTAAGAACTACAGATCTGAAACCTGTCCGATCCAGTGCCATCCTCATCAGTCACTCTGTCAATAGTATCATCGAGGGTCTCCCTCTCAAGATCACCTCTGTGGAGTCGACGTGGTCACCCTACTTTAAAGATCAATCCGTCCAGCACCTTACATGTCATCCGTCCAGCACCTTACATGTCACCCAACTGTCCCATACCTGTTATGGCAACCTGCTTTTTTCTTCCAGAACATTAACCAAGCAGCATACCACAAAGTCAGTTTATCCATCGACTCTCTTCTGACCGTCAGCACCCTAAGGCAGGGCTCTGCGTACATTTGGCTCCCTAACACAACCTCATCATCCAGAAGAAAAGTCTCAGTAAATATAGCACCTGACTGTATAAGACCATTATTGTAGAAACAGAAAGGCAACTAGTAAAATGTTTATGAGGATCAAAGGGGAGAAGGAGAGGGGCAGAGGGGTGAGGATGGACCAAGGAAATCACAGGGTTGCAGTCTGATGGGTAGAGGGACAGGTGGGTTAAGAAAATAGCAAAGATCCGGCGGGGATCTGGAAAAATGTGATATTTCGGTGTTGATTAATTTTATAAAATAAATGGGAGTGATTATATGAAACACAATGTGAACAAAGTGTAAAAAACAACATTTAAGAACTCTGTATGCAAACTAGTATAAAATAAAAATTTATTTTTAAAAAATATCATCTAGATCTTTAAAAAAAAAGAAAAAGCACCTGAAAGAGTAACTGAATGAAGGGATGAAATACACAAACTCTGTTCCTTCCTGGAACCACGGAGCCGTATGCGACGAAGGCTCCCTTAGGTGCTGGCTGGCTGTGAGAGGTGAGTGCTTCCATGGTGCTGGGCTCAGCGAGTCCACGTAAACACCCAAGCCCTTTCACAGAGGGGAGGCCCAGGAGCAGCACAGCTCTTTTCCTTCCAGAAAACAAAAACCATTATCAACATTTACGAAGTCTTTTCCTACCTGGTTTGTTTTTCCCAGGAAAGGATTTGTCCATCAAACTTGCAATATTTTCTCTGTATCTGTGAAAAATGAAAGAACAAGTCACTGCTGGCTGTCTGAAGCCACATACAGAACGTTTCTGGTCATGAACGAGCAGAGGCAGTACGTTAACCGGCATCATCATGCTGCATCCTCAGTGTGCGTTCAGACTGTCTCGTAGAGTGAACAGAACAAAAGGTCAAAGAACCTGGCTGTTTATTTACCAGACACATATTTCAGCACCAGCATGAGTGAAACCCAGTTTATGTATAAAAATTATTTACCTTCTCATGATGTGGCTCAAAAGAATTTAGTGAAAGCTCTCCTTTACCTAATTTTGGAATCGCGAACGTAGTTAGGATCTTCCAAGTTATCCTCCCACGGAAGCCGGCCACTGAGCCACTGGATCATGCAGTAACCAAGTGTCTCCAAGTCACCACGTCTAGAAGGGGCTGCAAGCACAGAGCAGCAGGTCAGGGACACTGGGCACAGGAGCCGGGACTCCTGTCACCAACACCACTCTACAGTGCGACATCTACCACCAAGTTCCGGCAGCATTTAGTTAAAGGGCTGAACACTGCACAGCCAGCAGAAAAGCCACGAAACTCAATTCTAATTACCCATTTCCTTTAAAATCCAAACTGGAAGATGTCAGGATTTCAAAGTGAGACTGGCAGTTCAGGAAGTCAACAAAAAGCAAACGTACAGACAGAGATAACTGTTCTTGGAAAACGTGAGGACATGAAAGATTCAAGAATCTACTAAAAGGCTCAGAAAACAGATTACTGTCAACCATCAGCCAGTCACACTGGGCACAGCAACGCTGAGGAAATGGGCTAACGAAGAAGCGATGGCCTAAGAGTCGACCTGTTATAAAGCTGTAGGTGCACACGTCCCTACTAAACGACGTAAAACACGCTCTCGTGGCAGATGACGTCACTGCTTCACCTTCCCAGCCGTCCTGGAGGGGAGGGTGGCCTGATGAAGTCCAATCTCTCCATTCTTTCCCCAGCCTACTTTGTCTCTTCAAAAGTAGTTGATTAATCAATGGCCACAGAGCTAGGAACCAGGAAAGAACTGGGGTCCAAAGCCACCAGCAGTGTGTTTCGCTCCCACACTTACCCACACCCTTGTGCGCATCGATGCTGGTGAATTCCATGGTGCCATCATGACATCTTTTAGGATCTTCTTTGTAGTCTTTGTGGACGCCTTCTGGACAGTACCGATAGGCAAGGCCATAATCGACCAAGTAGACCTGCAGGTTCCAAGCACACAGACAATTCAGAGTCAACGGGACAGCCCACAGAGACGTCCACACAACAGAACAAGAGGCCTTCACGTTATGTTCCTTATTTTTAGATAATTGTGTTACACTTGTGATTAATCACATCTCCTCACCATGAACAAGCATTACAAATTTAACACTTTTTCTTTAAGTCTAAACCAAAATGAAGTGTGGCGTAAACCTTCACAGCCACTTGTCCCATCAAAACACCTCAGGGGAAGGAAGGCTGCTGGCTTAGCCGACATGAGACACACCACACCAGCTGCTGATCTTTGATCATTTCACAGCAGGAACTCTGTTTACAAACGTAAACTCAATTCATGGTCTAGTTCAGAGACTACAATGGTGACCAAAAGAATGGGTACAACAGTCTCTTCTATGCATTTCTACTACAGTACTGTACACACACACATCTGTGGGCATGAACACATGGGCCTACCTAGCAGTGCTACATTCCACAGCCACAGATTTCACCTCTCACTCTACACGACTACATCAGAAAGAAGTGAAATAGGAGAACAGATCAGGTACCGACAAGTACTACTGAAAAAATGACCCAGTCCAAAACATTCACCTAAGAACTGCAAGATCCCCCACCCAACAAAAGGCAGCTCCACTAGGAACAACAAACAGAAGGAGGCTATCGCTTCTATCATAACATTCCCTTGAAACAGAATCCTCCAATGAACCCTTATCTGTCATATTCCAAGCTAGCTTTATGTGCCTACTGTGTATGTGCAAATGCTTTTGTTTTAAACTTAAAAACATTTAAAAATAAGATAGGGAGGAAGAGTGGAGCCCTGTGTCAGCTGTCAAAGGATGCCTCCCCTGGCCTGCTACCATATAGCTGCAACCCTCTGTCCCACTTCCTCAGAGCCCTCACCTCCACCACTCCCTGCTGGATAAGGGAACAGGGCGGGCAAACACAGAAGTCAACAGAAAAAGAAAGGGCAGATCAAGAAAAATCTCAACATGGAGAAATTCAAGCTGGTTTAGAAAGAAAGGATAAATTCTTGGGTAGCAGAGTCCTACAATGAGCAAAGCACCCAATACACTCACAGTGTTTAGATCGTCCTTCCTTATGAGAATCAAGTAAGAAAGGGAGAGCACACAGGACCAAACACAGTGTTTCAGTGACGAGTGTCGACCAAACCTTCCTTCTCCCAAAGTCAGAGGAACAGAGATAAGGAAACTACACAGTTCGTTCTCTAGCAAGAAACTGACCCAAACAAAGGTAGAACATTGGTGTGCACCTTTTCAAGGCAACAAAAAGGAGCAAAGGAAGCTGAACCACAAAAGCACACACAGTTGAATTCCAAGTACTAGGGATGTACAAATTTAGACAGCTAAGATATTTCTGTAAACCAATTGATTTGAATAATCAACATGTTAAAGACTAAATTTTCCAAGGAACAGAACACTTACATTTGATGGATTTCTTGAACAAAAGAAATAAAAAAAGTGACAAAGCAGACAGGCAAACATAATTCATTGGTGCACTATATAATTTTAAGCTTCCACCCCCAAATAGCTATTTGAAATTCATTTTGTATCACAAGTACTTCTCCTGAATATTATTTAGGGCAAAATAGCCAACTTGATAAAGTGCCAACAAATTGCATAAAAAATGTAGAATGTTAACTAGATAAAAGTGTCAAGAAGAAATGTTATTACTACAGCTACTTCAAAAAGTAAGACTTTCAGGGGGGTTCAAGAGTTCAGAGGAGCTTCCGAGCAGTGAGACTACCCACAAAGCTACCTGGTCGGGGTTCTTGCAGCTCAGGAGGAGGTTCGAGGCTTTGATGTCGCCGTGCACGTACTCGTGCTCATGGATGTACTCCAGGATGTCCAGCTGGGGAGCACACGAGAGGTGAATGCAGTACCTACCAGCAGCCAGCAGAGGACCCAACTTCCGTTCGGCTCTCTCACTGTGACAACAGTACTTCATACGTACAATTCTTAAACTTAGCTGCAAGACAGTTTTCCGAGAAAACCTTCTGGCATTTGCTTCATATATTTTCTGAAGGTCACTTCCAAAGCGATCCATTATCATGAACCTGTAACTAAAGACAAACAAGTAAAGTTGAAGAAAATATCAAACCTCTTCGTCAATCAAGGAGGATACTATATTTTTTTCAGGGCAATGTCCAGTTAATCAGTATTCTTCAAAAAGCAATACTAACATTTGAAAATAATCTCTGTCAACTAGAAAACTCAAAGAATTTAGAGTGCCTTCCTCCTGCCTCCACTTTTAGAGCCTTTTCCTAACGATAAGAGACAGTATCCATTTTAAGGTAATGTCCACAAGAGAGAACAGTAGCCCATCCAGGGTGGAAAAAAATGGCAGTGAGTCAAGTATCACTGGAAAAGAGATGGCCTCATCTAAACTTCTCTTTTAGAAATAAGATCCGTGAGGAAACACTGATTGGCAAAGTCACACAATAAATCAGTAACAAATGTATTATGTAAAAAAACCCGTATGTGGAGGATAAAGTAGCGGGATAGACAGGTGGCGGTACAGTCTCTACCCTCAAACGTGGGAAAGAGACACAGATAGAGAGTGCATAGGCTCAGGTGCCATGTTAGATGTGCGGCCACACACAGGAGGGGAAAACTGGGACACTGGTCTTCAACTGAAACGGTTCTGACAGCCTAAAGTGGTGTCTACAGAACCCAAGCAAGCACACTTAAGGCACCCACATTCATTCAGTACCAAAGCTGGTTTCTATCAGACACCCCACTATCTGGACCCAAGACAAGAGAACAAGACTCTGAACTCCTCATGCCCTGTGGATACTGGGTTTTCAAGGGTGAAGAAATGAGATAAAGCAGTACCTGTGGCCGTGTCTGTACTAAACACCAGGTATGGGTATGACTGTTACAAAATAATACATGGGCCTCTGCCAACAACTTAAAGCCAGGTGAAGCAATAAGGCTTGTTCCCCGTAGGATCTGTAAATACCCCCAAGGCCGTGCTGTTACCCAGTCACCCCCTCCCCACTAAGCAATCCCTTAATCGTCTTTTAATTTCTCGATAACACCAGCTCAATCACAACCCACTCGTGGCACAGAAATTCCGTGGTGTCCGTCTAGAAGTCCAGTCCCACGGCTGAGTGTTGTTGTTATGTTACTATTGAGTCAGAACCAACTTAAATCTGACCTTCTGACGCAGCTGCACATCAAACAGGACACCGCCCACCTTTCTCCAAAGAACAGCTGGTGGATTCCCACGAGGCGGCCAGAGCTTCCTTTCTATACAAAGGTGGCCTAGTGATGAGGAAAGGAGTCACGCTGCCAACCCAAAGGCACACAGTTCAAATCTACCAGTGGTTAGCACACAGGAGAAAGATAGGCAATCTCCTCCAAGGTGATTTACAACCTCAGAAAACCCACTGGAGGGTCAGCTATGAGCAGGTTCCAACTTGATGGTACGTACACACAACACATAATCTTTAGATAAAGACCATTATAAAGTCTATCTCATGCCTAACATTATACAACTGACGTGTTGTTATGTGCCATGCAGTCGCTTGCGACTCATAGGGACCCTATGCACAAGATCCCTAAACCCTGCTCTATCCTGTGCCAACCTGTCTCTGACACACCTACCCCCATTACCCCAGTCACAGAACCAATCCATCTCATCGAGGGTCTTCCTCTCCTGCGCTGTCCCTCCACCCTCACAAACATGATGTCCCTCTCCGAGGACTGGCCCCTCCTTGCAACATGTCCAAAGTATGTCAGACGAAGCTTCAGAATCCTTGACTCCAAGGAGCAGCCGGTTTCACCCTCTCCAAGACAAACCTGTTTGTTTTCCTAGTCCATGGTATATTCAACACTCCTCTCCAGCACCACAACTCTATCCTCCCCAGATATTGTCCAGCTCTCTGATGCACAGCACGCAACTGCGAAGACTACAGCCTGGATCAGGGGCACCTTAGTCTCCAGCTTGACACTGTTGCTCTTCAGTACTCTGGAGAGGTCACTGACAGCAGACTTTCCCAATGCAATTTGTCTCTTGATTTCCTGGCTGCTGGTACCAAGAGTGTTGACTGTGGAGCGAAGCAAACTAAAACTGTTAACACTCTCAATCTCTTTACCATTCGTACTGATGCTGCCAACAGACCCAGTGGTGAGAATATTGTATTAACCGAAAAGGCACTAGCCCCTTTTACTAGGAGCAAGGTAAGGTACCAAAGGAAGTCCTACTTGTTGTCAATATCCACACACATATACATACAATAAGGGAAGACACACTCGAGACAGGGGCGGCCACATTCCTGCCAGTGGTCAAAGGACCCCAGCTGGCATTCAGAAGGATTACTTCTCAGGGCTTGCCCTCAGCCAGCACCCCAGAGGCACGGATCTTTGTTTGGTGGACTGAACCAAACCTCACCCATGAAAAGCCAAGGTCATCAGCAGTCATGGTGGCCTGGGTTTCCATTAACTTTAACCACAGACATGGAATAACAAGAGACAGCATAAGGATTCTCCTATATCCCAGACACTCTTTCTCTCCATAGTGTAGTATTTCTCTGACGGACCCTCAGGAATCCGAATCAACAGCACCAGACAAAGACAGTAACTCCCTTGTTGACCTGCTGATGCAGCGGGATGAGCAGCCTCAAGCAGTCAGAGGAATTCTTCATCTCAGTTCAGTGGAAGCATCAAGCTTCAGCTCCCAGGTGCGAGGATTTAGACCCATAGGCCATGAGCAAAAACGTTGTGAGTGGGTCACCAGGCGTTAAGAGCGAGTGGTGCCACCCCACTTCCTCAAGGCATGACCCCTAGCTTTAGAAGGAAGAGCCCCGATAATGGGCGCTGGTGAGGAGCTGCACAGCCTCCTGGAGAACACTGCCGTACCCTGCAAAGCCCCACGGCCCAGCAGGGGCCCTATCTGTGTCTAAGAAGGCACCCCATTGTTCTAGCAAGCCAAGTGCTTCTGAACAACGGGGAACATGGCTGGTGCCATTAGGTGCCGTCGAGTCACGTATGACTCACAGCAACCCGAAGAAGAATAAACCTGAACACTATCCTGTCCTGTGCCGCCCTCATCACCTCTCACACTTGTGCCCTTCCTGCAGTCAGTGTCAGCCCACCTCACTGAGGGTCTTCCTCTCGGTCACTGACTCTCTACCTTTCCAAGCATGATGCCCCTTTCCAAGGAATAGAATCTCCTTAGCAACATGTCCAAAGTCCGAAATACTTAGGCCTTCAGTCCTGACCACCCAGCCAAACCACTGGCCAGATCCACAAATTAGTGATGACCACGTATTTCGTTATTTCTCTACCCAGCAAACTGAAGACAGATGCAGAGCTTTCAGGAGGCTTTCCCTTCACAGAGGCCCAGAAAGGGGGTGCGATGCGACTGCTCCGCTCCAGTGTGGTGCTGCAGACTGTACAAACTACCTGTAAAGCAGGCACAAATTTTCACCTCAGTCAAATGACCCTGAGGGACTGTCCCTGAGGCCACACAAGTGGTGACCATGGGCATAGGTGGGCCGCTTCCTCCCATAGCCTGCATGTACCTTACGGTCCTGCTCGAGCCATTTCACGATGCATTGGTGTGATACACATTCCACTTTATGGCTCTGTGGGTCACACAACATCCAGTCCACAATGGGCAGCTCAGGTGGCACGGTAAGCCAGTGGCCCATGGTTAAGCGATCAGTCTTTCCTAAGGCCCAGTAACAAGCCAAGTGCTTTTTCCTCAAAGGACAGTAGTTCCCTATAGTTTGAGGGAGGGCTTTGCTCTAAATCCTTGGGGTCTCAACCGTGGTTAACCCATACTGACGATCAAGCTCCACACAGCATCTCCACTGGCCACTGACACACGAAGCACCACGGGATCTGCCCAATCACAGGGCCCAAGTGGCAGAGCGGCTTGCACAGCAGCTGAAGCTGCTGCAGTCTTCTCGGGACCACCTGAGACACGGGCCTAAGGAGCACAGTCAAGTGAGGGATGTGTTGTCTCCAAAATCCAAAGAGGTCTGTGAGGCAAGTACCACCTTCTCAGCTGCAGGAGGGGCCAGGTGACAACTTGTTGTTGTGTACCATGGAGTCAGAACTGACCTGTAGCTGACCCTCCAGCAGGTTTTCAGAAGCCATTAACTGCAGGGGAGATTGCCCATCCTCCTCCCACAAAGCAGCTGGCTGATTCGAAACACGTGCCTTCGGAATTGCAGTGCAGCTTCTTACTACTAGGCCCCCTGTGCCTCCTTTAGAATTTATCTACATGCCTCAAGTCACTGGACTCCAAGAAATGTCACCAAAGTAGAAAGAGCCACAAGTTTTGCTGGATTAATTTCCTACCCAGTTAACACAAAACCCAAATCCAAACCACCTGTGTCACTGCTGCCCAGCCCAAAGCAACTCTGAGCTGACCTCCTCGGGGTTTCTGAGGCTTTCAATCACACAAGAGGGGCTGGCCTGGCTTCCTCCCACAAAGCTGCTGGTAAACCTGAACCACAGAGCAGGCCAGCCTGCATTAGCAGCACAACCCCCTACAGACGAGGCATATATGTAAGATGGCAAAGTGTAAGATCCTGGTCTGCTAACCAGAACGCTGGCAGTTGTCAAGTGCGCTGAGAAAGATGGGCGGTCTCCTCCTGCAAAGACACAGCCTCTGAATCCCAATGCAGGGCCACTCGAAGTCAGAACCAAGGCCACGGCAGCGGCTGGGCATGCCCTGCCCTTCACTGACTGCCCACATAAATAATGTCTTTTGCTGGCAACAGGTGTACACAGTAAGAAGACAAAGCCTCTCCTCCTAACTGATAAGGAACATGCAGACAGCATTTATTCTAAGACAGACTTGTTCTTTTTTTTGGCAGTCCAAATTTAATATTCTTTGTCAATTCTTCTGTCTTCCTATTTCATTATCCAACTTGTACACGCGTATGAGGGGAATGAAAAGGCCGTGCCTTGGATCAAGCAAACCTTAGGAGCCAAGGTGACGGCTGATGTGCCTCATGCGACAGGTCATTTGTTTTACTGGAGTGTGTGCACACACGCGCACGATTTGAGTAAAAACTTACACAGCGTATCAGTTTTTCACTCAATTATTCATACAATTTTATACTAATTACAATACTCACAGTGCCTGACCATCCTGTCATTCCCTTCACTCACCTTGTTGCTGCCGTGTGCCGTCGAGCTGGAAACTGACCCATAGCTGACCCTCCAGCAGGTTTTCAGAGGCAGTTAACTGCATGGGAGGAGACTGCCCATCCTTCTCCCGTGGAGCACAGGGTGGCCTTGAACCACGTGCCTTTGGGATTGCAGTGTAGTTCTAACCACTATACCACCAGAGCTCGCTTCACTCGCCTTAGTAAGTGTGTCTATTACCTATAAGACTGGTTTCCTCTCCTTCCACCTCAGCCCAGTAACTTCCCAAGAATGATTCTGTGTGTAAATCTTGCTTTAGATTTTGTTAATAGTAGTCTTATACAATATTTGTTCTTTTGTGATTGACTTACTTCCCTTCAAACAATGATTTCTAGCTTCATCTCTATTACGCAATGTTTTGTTTATTCTTCCCTATTCTTTAATGTGGCCTGGGACTCCCTGTGTGAATGGACCACAGCTCCTTAAACCATTCATCCGATGACGGTCACTTAGGCCGTTGCCTCTTTTTGGAATACTAAGTAAGTAAGTATAATAGTAAGTAAGATTTCACATGCAAGCAAGATTTTACTGAAAATTATCCAAAAACTACTGGAACAGCACATCAACAGAGAACTACCAGAAGTCCAGGCTGGTTTCAGAAGGGGTCGTGGTACTAGAGATATTGTAGCTGATGTTAGATGGATCTTGGCTGAAAGCAGGGAATACCAGAGGAATGTCTATCTGTGTTTCATTGACTATGCAAAGGCATTTGACTGTGTGGATCATAACAAACTGTGGCTGACTCTGAGAAGAATGGGAATCCCAGAACACTTGATCGTTCTAATGCGAAACTTATTCTTGGACCAGGAGGCAGTCGTCAGAACAGAGCAAGGGAACACTGCATGGTTCAAAATTGGGAAGGGCGTACGCCAGGGATGCATCCTATCTCCATACCTTTTCAACCTATATGCAGAACAGATTATCCAGGAGGCTGGGCTCCATGAGGAGAAATGGGGGGTCAGGATTGGTGGACGATTTATCAACAATCTGCGTTATGCGGATGACACAACCCTGCTTGCTGAAACTGAAGAAGATCTGAAGCGCCTGCTGCAGAGTGTCAAGGACTGCAGCCTACAATATGGATTGAGGCTCAATGTCAAGAAGACAAAGATTCTCACCACTGGACCAATCGGCAGCATCAGGATGGATGGTGAAGAGATTGAGATTGTACACAGCTTTAGTTTGCTTGGCTCCATAGTCAACAGTCTTGGCACCAGCAGCCAGGAAATTAAAAGGCGCATTGCCATGGGAAAGTCTGCTGTTAGGGACCTCTCCAAAGTGCTGAAGAGCAATGGTGTCTCTCTGGAGACTAAGGTGCATCTGATACAGGCCATGGTCTTCGCAATCACCTGTTATGCATCAGAAAGGAGAACTGATGCCTTTGAGCTGTGGTGCTGGAGAAGACTACTGAGAATACCATGGACTTCTAGGAAAACAAATAGATTTGTCCTGGAGAGGGTTAAACCGGGTGGCTCCTTGGAGGCAAGGATTCTGAGGCTCCGTCTAACTTACTTTGGACATGTAGTGAGGAGGGACCGGTCCTTGGAGAGGGACATCATGCTTGGGAGGGTGGAGGGACGGCGAAGGAGAGGAAGGCCCTCTATGAGGTGGATTGATTCAGTGACTGGGATAATTGGGATGGGAGTGTCAGAGACAGTGCGATTGGCACAGGACAGAGCGGAGTTTAGGGCTGTTGTACATAGGGTCGCTATGAGTCGCAGGTGACTCGACGGCACATAACAACAACAACAAGTAATGCTGCAATAAACATGGGTGTGCGTATCACAATTTCATTTCTGAAGATACATACTTGGTAGCAGGACTGACTAAAATGGATTTACCCTCTGAACTTTTCAAGCTAGTGCCAAGCGGCTTTCCACAGCAGCTGCACCATTTCCCAGGCCCAGCAGCAGTGTATGGGAGGAGTTCTGATCTCTCCACGTTCGGCCCACTTTGGCTGTTTACTGAGTTTCCTCTCTGAGCCGTTTCTGGGTAAGATGATACAGCTGTTACGATTTGCTTCTAATAATCAATGATCTTGAGTAATTCTTCATATGTTTGGTGGTCATCTGAATGTTTTCTTTGCAAAAATGTCTTTTCATGTCTTCTATTTCTAACTCAGTTGCCTGTCTTTTTCTTGTTGCTATTTTCCATGGGTTTTAGAGACAAGTCCCTTGACAGGTTCGTTGCTGACAAGTATTTTTTCCTCCTGACTGCAGGTTCTCTTTATTCTTTTCGAGTACCCCCCCTTTGATGTACATAGGGATTTACCTTTCAAAAGGTCCCACTTTTCACATCTACTTTACCCTCTACTGATTGTGCCTTTTTGGTTCTACGTGATAGTCTTTTATGCCACCATTAGGACTCTTAAGTTTGCTCCAATATTTCCTTTGATGAACTTTAATTTTTATTTTATAAAATATTTATATTTATAAAGTATTTATTTTTATACCCAGGTCCTTGATTCCATTTTAGTTTTGTGTATGGTGTGAGGTATGTTGCAATCCTCTGCAAATAGACAGCCAGTTTGCCAACATCTTTTTTTGAAGAGGCTGTTTTCTCTCTATTTAATGGATTTCCTCTCTTTGTCAATGATGAGCTGCCCACAGGAGGGTGGATTTACTTCTGGTTCTCAATTTTCCTTCACAGGAAGTAATATTCTTTTTTTCTTGCTGGAGGCTAAGTCTATGTGAGGCCTACCAATGACACTGTCACCTTGAGACCATACAGTGAAGAACAGAAAGAGAACACAGCCAAGGTAAGGCAGACAAGCAGGGAAGAAAAGGGAAGCCAGGTCTGACAGCTGCTCAAGAGGTGTCCTCCTGCACTCGCCACTAACAGCACCCAAGTTACCATCTCCAGCCCCAACGTGGCTGCTATCAGACACTCCCTACAGGTGGCCCAAACTCGGGAAGTCCCACTCGAGCCACAGCTCTCTCACTTCACTCTGAAAATCCCATGCATCCACATTTACAGTGTCTGTTGTTGTTAGGTGGCGTCTATGACTCACAGAGACTCGAGGAGCAACAGATCTGAACCCTGTTCTATCCTGTGCCATCCTCACAATTCCTGACACACAAGAGCCCACTGCAGCTGTCACTGTGTCAGTCCACCTAGTTGAGGGTCTTCCTCTCCTTCGCTGACCCTCCACCCTTCCCGGCATCATCCTTCTCCAAGAAACGGCCCCTCCCAACAACATGTCCAAAGTATGTGAGGTGAAGCCTCATCATTCCTGCCTCCAAAGAGCTCTCTGGCTACTCCCTCCCCGAGACAGATCTGTTTGTTCTCTTGGCCGTCCATGGGATGTTCAGTGCTCTTCTCCAGCACCACAGCTCAAAGGTGCAAATTCTTTTCCTGCCATCCTTATTCACTGTGCAGCTCTCAGATGCACAGCTAGTAATCGGAAAGACCATGGCCTGAATCAGACGCACCATAGGTCTCAAATTGCTACCATGACTCAATAATTTGGAGTGGTCTCTAACTGCAGATTTTCCCAGTGCAATGCATCTCCTTAATTTCTTGACTGCTGGTATCAAGGATGTTAATTGTGGATCCAAGCAAGATGAAGCTATTGACGGTTTCAAGCTCGTCACCATCCATCATGATGCTGCCTGTTGGTCCAAAGGTAAGAATCTTTGTTTTCCTTACAATCCACACTGAAGGCTGCATTCCTGATGTTCTGCAACAAATGTTTCAATCTCCTCACTGTCAGCAAGCAAGGCTGTGTCATCTGCATAACACAGGTTTACCATTCCTACTGTCCATCAAAGCAGTGGGGGATTTCTCAAGCTCAGCTATTAGAACCATGTTCTCGTCAGTCTCTGTCAGACAACAAAAGGTCAGAATCTCACAACTTTATACTTACCTGAATAAACTGTTCCACATATATGTCTGTTTTCTCTCACCAGCTACACTGAGAGCTTCTGCAGGGAAATTACGTATCACAGAGGAAATCAATACTAAATGAAAGAGGAAGAGCTCACCTTCACAGGAAGGGTAAGAGGCTCTTGGTTTGTGTGCGTGCTTATTTGTAAGGACAAAACTGTAGCCGTGTTCGGCTCTGCTCCCACGTGTCAGTAGGCTATGGTCAGCTGCAAATGCTGCCAATGTCCTCCCGTTAGCAAAGTGCCACCATCTAAGAAGATATAACCTCACTGCAGACAAACGGCAGAGGTAACCAGAAACCCCCCTCTCTCTGCTGAGCCCTGATGAAGACCCCAGCAACACAACAGTGGCTCACAGAACTCCAGGCTAACGCAATGAGCACTAAACACTCAACAAAGAGAGAAGAAAACCAAAATATGCACAGGTTTACCTTTTTCCATTTTTATCATGTAGACCAGACCCCCAGTACTTAGGAACACCCAGGTACTTCAGTTTGTGGGCATGAATCCATTTCTGAACTAAAAGTTAAAACAGATGCTTGTGATTTTCAGTTCTATTAGACACAAATTTTTAAAAACATTAAGGTACTTACACATTTAACAAGTTTACCTTATTCATACAAAAGGAAATGAAGACTATGGCAAACTAACAAATAAAAAGCACTTTATAATCAAAGCATTTTTATTATCTCCAGAATTTTATCTTGCCCTCAACTTAGCATTGTCTTTAAAATAAATAATCTGCAAAAAGTACCAAAAAAAGGAGAATCTTCAAAAGCAGAGTAGTGCAGCTGCAATTAATACCTCTAATTATGCAAATATCATATTGCTTACCAAGGAAGATTTTTTTTAACTCCATCTACAAGTCCTCAACCAGGAAATCAAGCTCTAGGAGAGAGGGAAGCCTTCCTGAGAGATTTGCCAAGCCTGACACCATTCCAGAAGGAGAGCTCCCTAGGATCCAGGGAGGGGAAAAGAGAAGAGGGGAAGGAGGGAGAAAATAAGGGCAAGAGAGAAGAAGCAGTAAAGGAGAGGGACACGGCTGGGAGAGAGAAGGCAGAGAGCACTGCAGAGGAAAGGGCCAGAGAAGGGGAGGGCTGGGAAGAGGAAGGCAGGAAGAGCACTGTAGAGGGGGAGGGTGGGAATAGGAAGACTGAGGGGAGCACTGTAGAGGGAGAGGATGGAGAAGGGGAAGGCAGAGCTTGGAGGACCATGGAGGGGGAGGCCTGGGAAGGGGGATGCATATAGGGGAGGGATGTGGAGGGGAGGACTACAGAGGGGAAGGGCTCGCCAGGGGAAGGCAGAGGAGGGGGCTGGGCAGGGGAGGGCAGAGATGAAGGATTACAGAGGGGGAAGGACGGGCAGGGGACGACTTGGGGATAGAGGGCCAGGGCAGAGGAAGGCAGAGGGAGGAGGAGTGGACAGAAGGGAGTGGAGCAGCTGCAAGAGGTGGCTTCTATCTTGGAAGCTGGCTATAATTCTTGAGTGTTGTCATCTCCCAGGTTAAACTCTCCAGAGTTTAGGAAAATAATAAGATTTGGAAATTTTGGACTCCGTCATGGTTTGGGTTAATTCCCAAGTTTTGACAATTTGCTAAACTCTCATTTATAAACTCCACTTTGTACTGATATGTGAAATCTTGTCATAACAAACCCATTCCAAGTTCCCTCATCAGAATCTGCTTTCCGTGGGGAATCAGAAGGTGAGCTGCATTCAGCGAGCTCTGTGGTCAGGTTCACACGGCAAGTATGGGTTGCTGAGGGGTTAAACGCGCGGATGCTCTTACTCTGTTCGGGTTTGGCAGCTCGTTGGTAGAACTTTAATTCAGTGAAAAGAGGTCCATTGTCACTCGGCTCCTTAAAATGGAAGAGTCCATTAGTGCCAGAAGCAGCTAAAATTGCAGAATTATTTTAAATAGCCTTCAAAAAATAACAAATTCATTTTTTCCAAAACAGTCACTGTGCTACGCAGTTTTATGAATGTGCCAGGCTGAATCACACTTCTCAGTACACCTCTGAGCCTCTCCAAACCATGCAGTTGTCCATTCCTCTCCGGCTCCATCGCTCCTGGTGATGAAGACTGCAGGGTCAGCAAAGTCTGTGCAGAAGTTAAAAACACTCTAATTCCCTCTGGACAAAACTTCCTCTTAGGCTAGCAAGCATGTTAACTGTGTCACCAAGGAGTGACTCGCTATCTCTGAGCTTTAATACAGTGTCAATACCTGATTTCACCGATTGGTGGCAGAATCCCCTTCCTTCTAGGTCTCTCCCCATCACAGGCCTAGTGGAATCCCACCTTGTGTGGGCCCCACTCAGGCAGGCATCGGCCGCTTCCCTCTGCTTGTCCTTCTCACCTGACATCAAGCTTTTCACACCATAGAGCCTGACAGAGATTAACCTCCCACCCACTGACTGAAGTCAGTAAGAAAACTAGCTCAGTACTGACAAGTCCCTGCTTCCCACTCACTGCTGGAACGAACTCAATCTGTCCTGGGAAGGACCTTAGCAGTATACCTGTCCAATGGAGCAATCCAGCCTGCTGAGGGTGCTGCCTGGTGCAATACACCTGGGAGGGGGGAGAAAACCCTTCTTGTCTGATGAAAACCAGTTAGTTCCGTGTTTGCCATTTTGTGTTATCATCTTGCTTCACAGAAGAAGTCAGAGAGAAAAAGTAAAGACGTGGCAGCTTTAAATGTGTAGAAATGGAGGCTCCAGTACTGGAATTCCGGGAAAGCTCAGTGATCCTGTGAAACGTGTGAGAGACACAGTGGACAGATAACTGGTGTGTCCAGTTGTGACAAGTTCTTGCCTGGGGCAGGGCTTTCTAACATCGTATCAGTGAGAAACAAGTGTTCTTTCTGAGGAATGTCCCCTTACACAGAGTCCATCTGAACGGGCTTCCTTTCTAAGACAAATCCAGGTCATTACAATCAGTATACAATTCTGACTACTCACTTTCAATCAATGTCCCTATGTTAATTTTCAAGTTTTCAACTGATGAAGCTACTAACAGAGAATCAGCTTCTGTAAGCCAGGCTATTAGAATGAAGGCCCACCCCCGACAGGGTCTGTGAGCTCAAGTCCCCATCTTCCCTGCCCAGAAGGGCCCCTAACAACACTCCTTCCTCACAGTGCACACTCGCCAACGTACTCTACTTCTGGTGAAGAAAATACCTTAACTCATAGCTAAAATTTATTAACATATTTCAAATCTAAAACACTTTGCCAACTCTGTAATAGCCAAGATTTCGAAAAGAAATTGGGACTGACATTTTAACTAGAATATCACTAAACGTTTCTCTAAGACTTCTAAGTGTCAAAATGAAGATGACAACAGGAAAAAAAATTAAAATGTGATAGATTTCAATGGCACCATCTAAAAGCAACTGGCTGCCATTTAAAAGTGAAGCCGCACACAAGTTCTCCTTCCTACTAGAATCATGTGAGAGTTTGTGAATTCAGACCACTTCTCCTAACATCAGGCAGGAAAAAATCAAACCCCAGCCTGCAGACTTCCTGCCAGGGAACTTCAGACACAGCTTCTCGTCATTTCTCTTGGGAGCCGACCACACACGGGAACTGCTGGCTACAAGATCAGACGCCTCACCTCCACTGCACTTTGGCTAGCAAACCAGCCCTGCAGAGCGGGGGCGAAGGGGCAAAGCCAATGCAGGAGGAAGCGTGTCAGCAAGAAAGCAGAAGCAGGTTTCTCCTCTCCTAGCATATCCACCTTGATGTCAGTTCTGCACTCGGGCTTCTCAGAGTGAAACAGATGGCGCCTGGAGGTATCCTGTACTGTCAGACAGCACCACTGCCAACACTCAATTGCCACCAAGGTCAAGGGTTACCAAGACCAAGGTCAGGGGACTGCAGAAAGGAAAAAGGATGTGCTCCAATGTCTACGTGCACTGCTGTTTCAAGGCCAGGTGGCTGAACTGCAGCTTGAGGCTGTGGTTAAGAACACTGTGACCCAGCAGGGGTCCCAGCAGATGGAGTCACAGGGGCTTCACAGACTCCTAGTGCATGGACAAATGAGGTCCCCATTACGCGACTGCCTATTACGTGCAGAACAACATCATCAAATAGTTCGCAATAGTCCAAAAATGACCAAAGTGGGGCATGGAGACACAGAGTGAGCACTTGTCAATGGAGAACAAAGCTGCTGCAAACTTGTCCCTGTTAAAGGGCAGATCTGTGGTGGGCACAGGCACGGTGCGACAGACACGCTGCCCTGCTGCCCTGCCCAGAGCACAGGTGAGAAGCAACCCTGCACTTGTTTATAAAGCAAGTGCAGAAATCTACACTGAGGCGGGGCCTCACGCCAGGGCACAGGACACAAAAGAATCCAAGTAACAAGTAACCCAACCATGTGGCTCTCAGCCCTAAGCCACACAGCACTCAAGGGACAGGTGGCACTTGGGGCAACGTGACCCAGACATGTGGTCTGTGCCACTCCTCGACAGGCTATCCCATTGTTACAGCTAATGTCACCAAGAAACTCGGCCTAGACGGAAAACCCACCTCAACAGCGTGCTCTTAAAAACCCCCAACAAGGGGAGCTCTGGTGGCCTAGTGACAAGGAGCTGCAACTACAATCCCAGAGGCGCACGGTTCGACTCCACCAGATGCTCTGCCGGGGAAGGAGGGACAGTCTCCTCCTGTACCAGTCAGATATGATTTGACAGTACACGCACACAAAAATAAAAAAAAATAAAATAAAAATAATTCATTAAGACATAAAAAAAAAGAAAAAAAACCCAACAAAAGCCAGGGTGCTCTTTTAGGGACTAAAACAGTTTGCAATCAAAGCAAGAAGAGCATCTCAAAAATGTATGCCATGGGGACCTATGGGGGACACCACCGGATACACATCATCAGTGTGGGGGACAACAGCTCAGAACCTGCTAGACCAGGTGTGTGCACAACAAGATAAAGCACACACCAAGCTTCTTCCTCTAAAGATCAAGGAATGTTCATTTTAGTAAACACGGCAACATTTTCATCTTTTCATCATATATACATCTAATTTATAAAATTATCTTCAAAGATCTGGTTTTTTACTAATTATCAAACTGACCCTAAGAAGAGTCAATCCTCTTTGAAAGCATGAGTCTCAATAGTCCCTAATGCTGTAAAGAGCAAACACTCAGAAGCAGGTCAGATGGTAGCACCGCACAGATGTGACAGCGGCTCTGCATGTTCACATGCGATGAAACAGTAACTATCAATAACATCAAGTTACAGGATAAGAAAGGGACACAGCAGAGTGACGGCAGAGAGCCTTACAAGAGACAACAAGCCATCAAGCCCACTGTGAGAGGGAGTGATGGCATCAGGACTTGAGACAGAATAAGCAGAAAGAGGAAAAAGGGAGGTTAGAACCAATAAAAAGTCAAGAAAAAAGTCAAATAGGCAATTACAGATGGCAAAGGGGGAAACAGTTTAAAGCAAAGTCCTAATCATCAAATAACTTAAAATCTAGTTAAAACAAACACATAAAAAATTAAAACAGCTGATCCACATCAGAAAGAGATGGGCAATCTCCTCTCACATGACATACAGCCTCTGAAAGCGTGCTGGAGGGTCGGCTAGAGCCAGTTCTGATTCAGTGGCATATAATAACTACGCGGACAAGAGAAATACACAGGCAGAGAAAAACGTAAAAGAAAACAGAACTCAAGGAGTGCCACGTAAGCTTGATGGAGCTCAGGAAAGAGACCTGGGGGAAGCAGACACTGCTGAGGGACCCCCCATAGATGGGACTAAAGGAAGATCAGGAAAGAGAACCCAGGAAGAGGGGAGGAGACACTGCTGAGGGACACCCACGGGGTGGGGGGGGGACGGTACTAGAGGGAGATCAGGAAAGAGATCCCAGGAGGAGGGGTGCACACACACACACACGAGAGTGAACACACACGTGCGAGAGCACGCATGAGACCGTGCAAGCACACACGCGTGAGAGTGTGCACGCACACAAGATCGTGGGAGGATGCACATACGAGAGCAAGCACGCATGCATGAGAGCACACACGCACGAGCGAGCACACACGCGAGAGCAAGCATGTGTGTGAGTAGTACATGCACACAAGTGAGCACACACGAGATCGTGCACACACACGCATGCCAAGCACACATGCAGAAGACTGTGCGAGCACGCGCACGGAGTGAGCACCAACGCACACGAGTGAGCACATGTGTGGACAGTAGCAGACTGAAATGATGGACAAGTGAGGAAGCAGGACCAGGCCTGGCTGCCACTCTTTGGAAGCTGGCTTTACAGGCTGGTCACACAGGTTCAAACACCATCACAGGAAGAAAGAACCAGACTGAAGGAGTGAAGAAAACAATACGAAGGCAGTGTAGCTATGTTTGTAGGATCAAAACCATCCTCCCAGGACACAGGCAGCAGGACCAGAAAGGGTTCTCTGGGGGTCTGGTGGTCAGCCCTCATTCACCCTCCCAAATCGTGGAGGGTCAGGTGACTCACACAGATGCCAGCAGCTTCTTCCTCAGCTTTATAGGAAGACTGAAGAAGGTGTTGATGGTGATACTGAAACAAGCAAGAGGGCAGTTTTATCAAGAATAAAAAGTCACAAGATTTTTTTTAAGTTGACTGAGATGACTAATCATCCAAAACTGAGTCTTTTTACTCTTGAACCAACTGATACTCCTTGTACGATATCTCTGCAATATCACTTTTTTTAGTATATCTGATTACTTGTAAGTTCGTCTCCATGTGCTGGGCACTGCCATGGCTCGCCTGTCCTCAGGTATACACACCCACCCTCACAATCTCATTTAGGACATTTTCATCACCCATCCATCCCCATACACCACTTTTCCTCCTAGGCCAGAGAACTATCCTGCCTCTGCCTCAATGATTCTGCCTACCCTGGGTTATTTCACACACACAGAATCCTAAGACTGTTGAAGTCCTTATTAACATAGATAATAAGCCAATAAAGGAGGGAAAAAATGGGATCTGTAATAATCAACCCAAAAGAAGGCAGGAAAAAGAATAGAGATCAGATGGAAAAGATAAAAACCGAAACCTAAGATGGTAGTTTCAATTCTGTCACGTCAACAGTCACACATTCAGTGTGATAAGAAGTCCACAAAACAAGTTAAAAGCTTTCAAGAGACTGAAATTTACTCAGTGTATGTCCCTCTGACCAAAAAAAAATGACATTATAAATCAATAATAAAAGGTGAAGAGACTGAGATCGTTAACAGCTTCAGTTTGATTGGCTCCACAATCAACACTCTTGGAACCAGGAACCAGAAAATCAGAAGACAAACTGCATTGGAAAAGTCTGCTGTCAGAGACCTCTTCAAAATACTGAAGAGCAAAGAAGTCAGTCTGCAGAATAAGGTCTAGATCAAGGCCATGGTCTTTACCATTAATTGCTATGCATCAGAAAACTGGACAGTGACTAGGGATGATAGGAGAATTGATGCCTCTGAGCTGTGGTACTGGAAAAGAATACTGCATATAACATGGACTACCAGAAGAACAAATAGGTTCGTCCTAGAGAAGGTGAAACCAGGCTGCTCCTTGCAGACAAGGATTCTGAAGCTTCGTCTGACGTACTCTGTGCATGTTGCAAGGAGGGACCAGTCCTTGGAGGAGAACATCATGCTAGGGAGGGTGGAGGGACAGATGAAGAGAGGAAGACCCTCGAGACAGATTGACTCAGGGGTAATGGGAGGTGTGTCAGAGACAATAAGGGTGACACAGGATAGAGAGGGTTTAGAGCGGTTGTACATAAAGGTCTATACACAATTCTGAGTTGCAAGCAACTCGACAGCGCATAACAAAAACAACAACAATAAAAAGTCTCTATAAAATTCCCAAATGCTTGAAAAATTAAGCAAGACATTTCTAAGTAGTCCACGTATTAAAGAAAGTATGCCCGCCAAGACTACCACACTTCCAGTACCTTGCCTAACAAACTATAGACAAGGCCACATGCTGGAGAGAGTGTCAGGGCACCAGAACGTTCACCCACGATTATCCGTGGAATGATGAAATGGCACAGCCACTTCAGAGAGCTGTCTGGTCCCTGCTCATAATGGTAATCCAGAAATCCTACATACCTCCAATTCTACTCTGGATAGACAACAGGAGAAACAACGTGTGTCTAAAAAACACAAATGTGCACAGATTTTGTCTTAACAGCCCCAAGCAAACCGAGCAACTTTCTGCTCAGCATCAGGGAACGGATGACTGGATGCCAACAGCACAAGAAATCATCAATTAAACTGAGAGTGAGAGACCAACATGCATATTGTGACGAAGCCATTCCTGTGTCCTTCTAAAATGCATGGCTTATCCACAGCAACAAAAGTCCCAGAGGTGTCTCCCAAGGATACAGGCAAGCCAGCTGTGAATATCTAGGGGGACTCTGGGGCAAATGGAGATGCTCTGTATTGTGGGGGGTAGGGCTATGCAGAGCTTTGCCTTTGTCAAAAGTTATCAAACTATTTATACTATTCTATACAACATTGTGTCGTTGTTGTTGCTTTGTGCCATCAAGTAACACTGTGTCGTAGCTGTGTAAATTACTTCTCAATAAAGTGTTTAAAATATCAGTACAAATGAGTATATTTATAAGGAGGCAAATATAATTCACTTGAAAAAATGTAAAAAGCCAAAACAAGCCTTGGGGTAATTTTAAAACCAGAGTTCTGTGACCTTTAGGAAACCACAGGGGAAAAGGACAAAGGCTGTGTGCATTATCTATTCAATGACGGATCTATCACCCTTTTCACAGAAAGTATGTTCTTCAAACATATCTAAAAATTTGGAGGAAGAGGGAGCAGATACCTACAAATCTAAGGATGGCAAGCATTGGTAATACAGCGAAAGACATACGAAACACTTATAATAAAAATAGTGGTTACTAAAGTGCTTTCCTGAGATTATACATCAAGCTGTTGTTAGTGCCACTGAGTCCACTATGACTCCGTGAGCCCATCCTGCACCACCCTCCCGACCTCTCCGTGCTAAAGCCCATCGCTGCAGTCACTGGATCACGCTACGCAGCACTGTTCAAAATATAAGACCATGAATGTAGAAAGAGAAAGGTAACTAGTAAAACGTGTATGAGGATCCGGGGGAGGGGGAACAGTTGTCTCTTATCATTTCATTACCTGTACTTACCTGAGGAATGCAGGGCCTTGCAGACGACTCACAAGCTCAGCTGCTAACCAGCAGGGCTGGCAGGTGAGTCTACCCAGAGGTGCCTCTGAAGAGGCCTGGTGGTCTCCCCACCGTCAGGCCCTGAGAACCAGTGGAGAACAGGTCTGCTCTGACACGCTCTAGATCTCCTGGAGTAGATCGGGAAGCGACCCACAGCCACTGCGTCCACTCCAAGTCACAGCAACTCTGGGACAGAGCAGAACTGCCCGCGGAGCTTCCCAAGCTGTCAATCCCCACGGAAGCAGATGGCCTCCTCTTCCTCCCACAGAGTGGCCAGAGGGCTCAGATCCTGACATTTCAATTAGCAGCCAAGCTACTACACTACACCACCACACCACCAGTGCTCCCGATACTTGTTTAAAAAACGACATTATAAAAAAAAAAATCAACCCATCAGAAAAACACGAAAATACTTTCTTACCACTTTTACAACGCAGGGTGCATCACTGCCAACCGGCTTTGAAGAATTTTTATCAGCTGTTCAAAAAAGTGAAATATTCACTATCAAAAAAAAGCAGCAGCACTGCAATAAATAAGTTAATTATATAGCAATATTAAGGTTTGTTCATCTCCAGTCCTTTGAAAGACTAAAGATCCTTCCCCACATACCAGTCATTAGTGTAAGGTATCAACCTGAAGGGCTTTTGGGGTTTTTTCATGTTTTACAAGTCTGAAATTGGAAGAAACCCATCTTATAACAATAGACAGGTTACCTTCAATCATTAGTTAAGTTAAACAAAAGTAAAAACTGCTTTAATTAAAACCACTAGTAGCCTTAGCTTCATCTGACATACTTTGGACATGTTACAAGGAAGGGCCAGTCCTTGGAGAGGGACGTCATGCTTGGGAGGGTAGAGGGACAGCACAGGACAGGAAGACCCTCGATGAGATGGATTGATTCAGTGACTGGGGTAATGTGGTGTGTCGGAGGAAGTGAGACTGGCACAGGACAGAGCAAAGTTTAGGGCTGTTGTACAAAGGGTCACTATGAGTTGCAAGCAACTCGACGGCACATAACAGCAACAACAGCCTTAGCTATGCTAGTTTGTATCATCTGTAAGACAAACTTAGACAATACCTTAAATTTACAGACAACTTTTAAACTATGGAACTAATTTAAGAAGGAATATAGGGAAATTAAGAAAAAAGGCTAATTTTTAAATGACACCCATTTGAACAGGAGGGTGGGCGGAAGCTCATCAGTCTACCTTGAACGGCCATTCAGAATCATTCTAGTATGATTCCCATTTTACTGCATGATGCTGTTTTACTTCCTGTAAATAAAGAAACACAACTGCTCTGCGATACTGAGTTAGGAATACTGACGCTACTAGGTGCTGTCATGATGGATCTCCCTCAGTGATCCAACACACGCTGTTGCTGCTGTTGTTAGATACCTTGGAATGAGAACCAACCCATACTTAACCCTCCAGCGGGTCTTCAGGGGCAGTAAATGAGGTGAGTGCCCCACTTTCTCCTGCAGAGCAGCTGGTGGATCTGAACCGTGGGCCTTTAAGTTGGCAGCACACTTTTCCCACTAAAGCCACAAGAGCTCCCCACACCGTCCTCACAGCTACTGCTGTCCGAGCCCAGAATCGCAGCCACTGGGTCAAGTCATCTGATTCTTGACAAAACATAACTCAAACTCCTTGTCACTGAAAGGATCCACTCACAGCTGACCCTCTATTGAGCTCCCGAGGCTGGAAATCCTATGTGGGGAAACGGCCCATCTTTCTCCTGCAGCACTGCGGGTGAAGACAAACCACCAGAGAAGGCATGTCCATTAGGTCAGCAGCTGAGCCCCTGTGGACTCCACCTCCAGAGCTCTCCTGGCTGACGGTGCTTGCTGTGTGCTGACTCTCCAGCAAGTGTTCAGAGGCAGCAACTCACACACTGACTGCACGCACTGCTCCTGCAGAGCAGCTATGTGGAGGCAGACCACTCACTTTTGGGGAGCAGAGAAATTCCTTACCCGAGAGGCCACCAGAACTCCTGGAACAAATAATTCTGAGCACTTCCCTGTGCTGGGGAAGAGTAAACTCTAGGAAACTGGCCCTTGCAGGGTGGACACAGACCACCAACACGCAGGTCTGGTGCTGCCTGGTGAGGACAGTGGTGCACAGGAAAAGCAGGACAAGGAGGTGGGCAGAGATGCTGCGGAGAGGACCCACTGTTTGGGTCATGTGAGCCGTGGTCTGAGCACACCAGCAGAGGAGCACCACGTGTGTGTGGGAGCACACCTGACGTGCCTGAGGGGTGCAAGGGGGTCACAGTGGGTAGTCAGATGAGGAAGCAAAACAGCTACTGTTTCAGAACAAGTTTCCACTTCTAATAGGAACAGCCTAGGTCCATACGGTGTGGCATAGACGTTCGTGCAGCAGAGCCCAGCCTCTACATCACAGGGCAGAAGTTCATGCTTGGCTAACACCGCTCCTGTTCCACAGCACATGGGACTGTCACCTTAAGTCAAGCATAGCCTATTTCAGCAGAATCAGTTTGGTTTTACTGAGTGAAAAGCCAGTTAAGCCCACCATACTGATGACTCAAAGGTTGGTGAACTGGACTCACTCTGAGGCACCCCAGAGCCATAGCCCTGAACGTCTTCTTGTGCACACGTGTGTCACCACGAGCCAAGACCAGCGACACCACACAGACAATCCTGACGAGGAGCCCTCGATGCGCCTAGCCGCACTAAAGAGAGGCAGCCTTTCATGAAGCTGCCTCCAGAGATGGCAGCCCTGGCCCTGGTGGTGCCTGGAGAAAGCTGTCTCATCTGTCAGTGGCTCACATACAAGCACCCGTCACAATCTTCTGGGACAACTGCTCAAGCATACTGCAGGAATTCTCTCTCAAGTTCCTGGGTCTGGAGAGGCCAGAGGATTTGTTCTACCAAGCTCCCAGGTGAGGCTGGTCTACGCTAGGCACTGCTGGAAAACAAGATCTTCATTGCTACGGGTACACGTACTCTGTGGCTGGAGGAAATGAAAACTGAACACAGTCATCTGCACTCCCATCCCAGCTCGCAGTGCGGTGACAACCAGGGGTGGAAAGTCAGGGGGAAACAGGAAACATAAACTGGGGTCACACCCTGCATCAACATTTGTCTTCTTAATGACACAAACAGCTTTAAAGAAGCAATCAGGTCCAACAGCTCCTGTATCGGTAATTTCATTTTAAGCTTACAGTCTTAAGGTTCCACTATGTTGCTATAGTTGTCAGGTGCCTGAGTTGAGAGCAACCCTATGCTGTGAACAAGAGACCTGAACTCTGTCTTATCCTGCGCCACCCTAATCCTCTCCGACACAGCTGAGCCCACTACAGCAGTCACCGGGTCCATCTCCCTGGAGGTCGTCTTCTCCCTTGTCATCCCTGCACCTTTCCAAGCATTGTGTCCTTCTTCAAGGAATAACCTCTGCTAACAACATATCCAAAGTATGAGACAAAGCTTCTCCATCCTTGCCTCCAAGGAGAATTCTAAGAATATGGCTACATATTCTCCAAGACGAATCTTTTTTTTTTTTAATTGGGGGGATGATCTACATATTGTTAATTACTCTGTGGCCTGGGTATCTGCAGTCTTCCCTTTCTGTCACTGTTCTAATTAGTACAGCACTTATCTGTCAGTTTGATGAACTGTCGTAACTTGTGGGCGCTGTGGTGCTAAAGCTGCACCACCAGTTTCTCAATGCCGGAGGGTTCATCCATGGTGACCAGGTTTTAGGAGAGCTCCCAGATTAAGACAGACTAGGAAGGAGGATTAGCATCTACTTCTGAAAGAGCAAACCCTAGAGTTCCATGATGGATCCCTCAAAACTTCAAAGCACAGTCGTAGAAACAGCACACCGATCAGGCCGCAATTCTGTTTCAGAGTCATTCCCCCAATTCCCTATGAGGAATTGCTAACAGTGACTGATAGCAGTGAGGCTAGATAACAGATAGAGAAATAAACTCCCCATCTGTAAGGCTCTGAAAAGCGCTCCACAGACAGACCCACGGAGTAAGTGCCAGCTTAGGAGGAGACCCACATGACTCGAGGTGGGTCTTGGATGAGGCCAGGGTTACAGAGTATTTTACACTCTGGACCACTGTGGTCACCAAGGACTAAGCAGCAGATGCTATGCCACCATCTGTGATAGAATATACCGCCTCCTCTTCTACTCCCGTGTGATTCCGTTACTCACACTCCTACGGTGTCTGTCCACCGATCACAGCTCAAGGTGGAGACGTCCTGTGGGTAAGCCATGGGGTGCTGCACGCACTTACCAAGATATATACAGCCAAAGCCACCTTGGCCCACAGGCACACCGAGCTTCCACTCCTTCTTGGCCATGTCGGTCAGCACCTCCCCGGCGGCAAAGTGCTCGGCCAGCCGTCTCTTGGTGGGACCAGCCTTTCCGGCTTGTGCGGCCTTCGCACGCGGCATCCTCACTGCAACACAGAGGAAAGAGACACTGAGCATGCAGTCCCACAAGAGGACAACACGGCGACCACGGCGAGACGCCTGCGTCCCTGCGCTACCAAATGAACCCCAGCTCAGATGCTACCTGCTCACAGGTGAAGGACACTACAAGTGAGCTCTGCAATAACTTGCCAGGAAGCTCCAAGTTCTATGAGCACAGTACCATCTGGAAATCTTTTTTTCCAAGTCCTGCTCTGTGAAGCTGAGAGGGATGGAGCATTTCATGGGAGCATCCTCAGAATCCAGCCCTGGGGAGCCGATAAATGTCAATGCTGAGACAAGCAGGAGTGACAGGAAATGAAAACAATTACAAACAGAAAAGGGGAAGGGCAGCTGGACATGGAGCTGTAGGGAGAGGTTCAGACCCATTCTACAGATGAGGAAATCAAAGCTCTGTCATGTTAAGTGACTTAGCCAACATTACACAACCAAGAAACAGTGGAACTTTAGTGCCAACAACTGGTAGACCACAGACTAAATGATAAAAAAAAAATTATTTTCATAGTTATATTATTTTAAAAAAATAATTTAAACCAATAGCCATAATTCTGACAAATACTAAAGTAGATGTTCTCTAAATTACAGCAAATTACCAAAGAGTAATAGCTATTTGATTATTTCCTAAACGTTGTTATGTGTCACTGAGCAGTCTGTGACTCACAGTGACCCACTGTATGCTCTAAACCCCGCCCTGAACAGAGCCAGTCTCACTGACTCCGACACATCTACCATCGCCACCATTACTGTTATCAATCCATCTCATCTGGGGTCTTCTACTCCTGCACCGTCCCTCCACCCTTTCAAGCATGATGTCCTTCTCCAAGGACCGATCTCTCCTGGCCACGTGTCTAAAGTATGTTAAGACAGAGCTTCAAAATCCTAGCCTCCAAAGAGAAACTTGGTTTCAACCTCTCCAAGACAGACTTATTTGTTTTGTTGCTGGTCCATAGTATGTTCAAGACTCTTCTCCAGCATCACAACTCAAAAGCATCAATTCTCCTTCTGTCTTCCTTGGTCACTGTCCAGCTCTCTGGTACACAGTGGATAACTGCAAAAATCATGTCCTGGATAAGGCACACTTTAGTCTCTAGAATGACATATTGTTTCTCAAAACTCTGGAGAGATTCCTTTCCAGAGAATTTACCCCGCGCAATTCCTCTTTTGATTTTCTGACTGCTGGTGATAAAGAGTGTTGACTGTGGAGCCAAGCAAGCTGTAATTGTTAACCAATCTCTTCTCCATCTATCAAAGTGCTGCTGATTGGCCCAGTGGTGAGAATCTTTGTCTTCGTGATGTTGAGCTTCAATCTGTATTAAAGGTTGCAATCCTTGACCTTCTGCAACATATTCTAAAACTGGAATAACTGAAGCCAAAACAGAGGCAGCAACAAGATCAACCTGCTGTCCATAATAGAGAAGGAAACAGCAGAAGGTAGGTAGCTGTCTTCTTCAATGAGCCAGAGAACTCCAGAGCTACTAGAAGAAACTTACCAGAAAGCACAGAAGACAACATGAGCAGAAAGTGGAGCCTAGTGAGGTCCTGCACATCCTGGGAGATCACCAAGGGCCATGACGGTGTGAAGGACACCATCACTCTTCAAACTACTAGAGTCCTCTCCCCAGAAAAGTCTCCAACTAATGGAGCAAGAGAATGAAATCAAGAAAACGCAACCAAGTCCCAGCGGCTCCTGAAAACGAGCACCCACACAGCAGTCCTTCACAAAGCCAGGAAGGACACTGCAAAGCCAGTCTTGACCACACCATCTGAACTAAATGCACGGGAAAGCAAGCATCACAACAGCAGCAGAAGAGGATTTGGGCGTAGAACACAGAGCTTTCAAAAGAAGGATAGTCACTATCACCTCTCTTATTCAATAACGTATTGGAAGTCTTGTTGTTGTTATGTGCCGTCGAGTCGTTTCCGACTCATAGCGACGCTATGCACAACAGCTCTAAACCCTGCTCTCTCCTGCGCCAACCACACTGCCTCTGACACACCCATCCCGATTACCCCAGTCACCGAATCAATCCATCTCATAGAGGGTCTTCCCCTCCTGCGCTGTCCCTCCAC